CTAAGGAGCAGTAGCCAACATCTGCCTGGAGTTTTGGACTTTGCCTTTTTTTTTTTTTTGTTGCTTTACAAACCAGGATAATAGTCTTTTGCCTTCAAATATTTACATTTTTAAAGTAGGGTCTACCTAGGGGAGTGAATTTAAATCATCTCATTCTCTCATTATTTTTCTGAACTATATTGAGTTTCATCCTCATCAGTCATATTTTTCTACCCTTTCTTCTTCATTGCCTCTAATAGGCAAGAAGGAGCCAAGTGCAGTGGTGCTTGCCTGTACTCCCAGTAGCTCAGGAAATTAGGAAAGGAGGATCTCAAGTTCAAAGCCAGCTTCAGAAACTTAGCAAGGCTCTGAACAACTTAGTGAAACCCTTTCTCAAAAAAAGAAAAAAAAAAGAAAAGAAAAAGAAGGGCTGGGGATGTGATTCAGTGGTTGAGCACCCCTGGGTTCAATCACAATTACCCAAAAAGAAGCAGCAGCAGCACACCTCATACACTTGCTTCAGGCTCCTGGGGCTCTTGCAGCCCTTCAAACCTTCATTGTAGTTCTGATGTTATATCACTATTATTTACATATCTGTGAAATTCCCAAGAAGACTCAGTCTTATTCTATCCTGTATCTTTCCTCACTTAGTATATTTCAGAAACGGAGTGATGTTGTACAATGACTCACCAAAGGAAAGAGTCATGAGCTGATGATTCCTCTCTCATTAAGAACTTAGTCTGACACAATTCAAAGAAGCAGATAAATCAAAGGGAGACCAGTGGAATAGAGGAAGAGGACCAGGAGGTGGGAGGGGGAAATGCTGGGGAGTATATTGGCCAAATTATGTTGTTATATTTTGTGCATGTACAAATATGTAACAACAAATCCCATTATGTACAACCATAATGTACCAATAAAAAAAAATGGGGGGAAAGAAAGCAGCTAAGACATTATGGACATGCAGTATTTTGTGGGAGGAAGAAAGGAAGGACTAGATAACTTTATTAGACCAGCAATCTTGTATAGTGAAAAGAAGATCAAGCTTTGGAACCTGCTGTATCCTGGTTCTGCTCATGTCTATTCTACACACAGGTTGCCTCATCAGTGACTCTGGGCAAGTTAAAGAATCTGTGTAGAAATCATAGAATTTGGTGGGAAATGGATGGCATTAGAGCAGATTATGCTAAGCGAAGCTAGCCAAGCCCTAAAAAACAAATGCCAAATGTCTTCTTTGATATAAGGAGAGTAACTAAGAACAGACTAGGGAAG